GGACACTTTGTTTTGAGCTCTGTCAATATTTAATATATTAGGGTTTATAGAGGATCTTCGCCAACAGCGCTTATGACTAAGTAGAATTCATTTGCACTGGTAAACAGTGTCTAGACGTTTTTTTTTTTTTCTTTCTATAATTCATACTTGAATGACGTTGTGGTGTGAAACACACATAACACATGTTGAATAGTGATATACTGCGAACATTGCTGGCGACACCTGATTTGTTCCCTAAACATTTTACTGAACGTGTCTGTATATTTCGTATTGATATGGTGATAAAAAGAAAATATTTACTGATGAGTTGATACTTTCTAATATAAATGTGGACTCTCCGAATATTTTTGCTGCATTCAAATGTTTTCTAATAATCGACGTTTTCGGCACAAAGGCGACTGCCTTTGATTTGAACAAAACATGAGTTAAACAACGTAGATATAGAAACTTTCATTTTTGCGACTTTCTTGTGGTGGCTGGATATCGTCTGTGCTTTGTAGTTTTCCTTCATACAGAACGGTTCCGTATTTGAGAGGTCAGAATGACTGACTGTTCAGGCAACGAAAATTATAAATGCAGAAAACGGAACTATAAAGTTGTTTGTAGCAAAAGTAAATAGTTCGACCAGCTCCTTATCCTCTGCCAAAAAAAGTCCAACGATGATTCTGTTTCTTGATGTTGAAAATAGTGAGCCCAGTATGTTCACAGCCTATAGAGGTTTAGCACTGAAGGTAAAGACGACGAAAATACAGACGATGCATATCGACGTTCTTTCTGTAGTGACAATTTGTTTTACCTAAAGACATGCAACAGTAGAGGTTGAAGTATTAAGATGTAACCATTATGGTATGTTTATTTTCAATTTAATTCATTCTGTGTTACTAGAAGTGACTTGTTTGAACCATAGCTAAATATAGTTTATATTATCAAAGTAAAGGACCCCTTTGCACTCATGCTCTGAGACTTCAAAATGTGAATACCAACCAGATCATCAGGCAGAAGGGCAAGCCAATTCATCCGTATAAGTATATTAAATTGTTTCTAGCATTACCTTTCAAAGCTTCCTTGTGCACACCTTTATACCTACTGGGCATAGAGGGCTAGACCTATGTTTCATTGACCAATCGGCACTTGGTTTGTGATTTTGTCAGCATAAAGCCAGTGGTCTTTACTTTCCAGATTTATATATTGTACCCATTCAAGCCTGAGTCGACTGGGAGCCGACATCATTCTTGATAAATAGTGTGGTTCCGTCATAACCCCAGCTCAGGACCTTCGTCCACTAGCTACACTACAACGGCTGCCTCATTAACTTATTGCAAAACAGTAAAATTCGTTTTCCTCCAAATACAATTCACTTTTTGTAAATGATATCTAAGATTCTTACTTCCATCTTGTGTTTCATCTTGACGCAGCCTTGTAATATTAACCACATCGCCCATCACATTCCCATTGGTCTGTTTTACACACACACACACACTTACACACATACACGCACACACATACACACACATATACTTACAGACTGACATCCAGACACAGACATACACACACGAATGTACACACACTGACTGATACACAGACACGCACACATACGAACACACACATCACACAAACATAGAGACATACGCATACAGACAGACAAACAGATACACACATACATACACAGCACACACAAACGTACACACACATACACAAACCTCACACACTACACATCACACAGACTCACACATGCCGACGGACACACCCACACACACACGCCTACACACAAATTGACACACACGCACGCGCACACATACACACATCACACTCCGCACACACACATGCACACACAAACACAAACACACACATGTACACGCATACACACACACGCATACACACACTCACACATACAAACAGTCGCACATACACGTATACACACACATACAAAGACATACACACACAAACACACACATACACACACTCATACATACACAAACATACACAGACACGCACACGCATACACACACTCACACAATAATACAGTCGCACACACACTTGCACACACAAACACGCAGACACATATACATACAATCACACACACAGACCACACACACACACAATACGCATATGAATCTAACATTATACGCCAGTGCCGAATATAAAAAAGGGTTCTTTTCTTTATTTTGTTACAGATCGTACTCATTTGTGAGCCTCCGTGGTGTAACGGCTAGTCGCTCGCCTACGGATCTGAAAGTAATGAGTTTGGGTCTTTTTGGTGCCATACATATTTTTCACGAATGACCTTGGCTCTTAAGTCGACTCTCATTGAATCGGTACCAGGTATAATCCTCTGAATTAAAGGCGTTCGGCATGATATATTCCACAAGACAAGCCCAGTGCCGATTTGTCCTTTAAAATATAGGTCTAGCCCTACATGCCCAAAATGGCTGAAGGTGTTGCGAATGATACTTTTACTGTCTTTCTGATTATCTTCCTAAAACATAGTTTACGGTAGTGAAGCACCAATGGATATGATGTGAAAAGTATATTTTGTAGACTAGCTGTCGGTTGATTTGTAGTTTTGTCAGCGTCATTCCAGCCATTTTAATTGATTGTTCCTTTACTCTTCCTTAAAACTCTTCCATTTATGAATAATGTTACAAATCGTATCTATATTTAAGTAGATATATTTAATTTTCTAATAAACAGCTTTTTAAAAGTGTCTCTATATTTCGTACTCATATGGTGATAAATAAAAATATTTGCTGATGAATTTATGCTTTCTAATATAAGAGTGAACCCACCCAATATTTTCGCTGCCTGGAAGTATTTTCCGTCAATGGACATATCAGGGACCAATGCCAATGCTAGCATTATAATGGCAACTGGGGCAATGCAGGAAATAAACAAGGTAGAGATAACGACTACCATTTTTGCCACTTTCTTGTTACGGTGGGGAATTTTCTGTGCCATGACATCACTGACATTTGTTTTACTCCACTCAGAGTTGACACGGAGGTGTGAAGTCAGAATGGCTGTACACACAGTTACGATAATAAATGCACCAAATGGAATGAAACAGTTATTAAAAAAAAACGTATACATCTCCACTTGTTCTTTATCGTCTGTGAATATAAGTCCAATGACAGTTGTGTTTTTCGCATTTGCAAATTTTACACCCAGTCTGCTCACAGTGTATATAGGAGTAGCGCTGAACGTAAAGATGATGAAGATGCAGACGATGCATATCCCTGCTCTTTCGGGTGTAATAATCTGTTTCACCTAGAGAAAGCAATAGTTAAGGCTACATATTATTTTTTTTTTTTTTTTTTAGAAATACCACCTTGGTTAATTTATAAATGTTCTCCTCAACGTTATCTAACAAATCTGCGTCTGTGGCTTAGGCGTTGCAAAATTGCTTGGGAATGCTGAAATATCCTACATGATTGCAGGTACAGGCGATATGACAGCAGATAGCGTTATGTTGGTTTCAACAATAGTATGGAGAGCCGACACTGAAGAAAGCAATGGTAAAGTACGGACCGTAAAATTGCTTAGTCGGTCATATTTACTTTTCGCCACCCATCTATACACTGGCTGACATGTCATAGATGCTTTCTCCGACTGTTCCACGTCAGAGAGGTGTCACGTTGTCTTGCCTCCAGTTACATCAGCGCCGATGTCTCGTGTTCTATACTACACTATGACAAACCTTCACAGACACCTAAATATATTGATCTGGCCCTAACACTAACCCCCTACCCACAGCCTGAGCCTTGGTCTCACTAGAGGCTATTTTTTTTTCGAAGAAAAGAGTACAACGTGACATGCCTCTGACTTAGATCAGACTGAGAAAGTGTGTAGATGGGCCGTGAAACGTGAATAGGACAGCCTAGTCTTCTTCTTTTTCTTGGCGTTCAAGAGCTGTAAACTACGGTGGCAATTTCTTGTAGTTTTTCAACTTCTGGAATGTAGTTTGTATCCAGAACTTTAGATTTGCGTGCACGTCTGTTTTACATAGCTTTCATTTTTTTTTAAAGTAAACTGTTGCTTCATGGCCACTGGTGCATGAAAATGCTGGGGAGGGTTCTGCATTGTCCTGTGAAAGAATGCTGATATCTAACGTGTGTTAATTATTAAATAATAATAAGGTAATAAACAAACAAACAAAACAAAACAAAAGCTCGGAGTAAAGCAATGGCTCTATCCCATTGGCATGATTTGTATACTGTTTTTCGGACCAAATTTCACTTGGTGGGTGAGATGATTAAACGACACCCGTCGTCTCTACTTCTCATGACATTTCCTGATACATTCTATGGGAATTCACACCTGAAAACCTAGCGCATTATCTTGAAATTCGCCTCTTTCAGACTTCAGCCTAAGATCTTCGGATTTCCGAAGAATCATTGCCATAAGCATTATTCTGATGAAATGTAACTAGAAATCCGAACTAAGTCTATGAACATTTAAATGGATAGACGATTGTGTCATATATAAACGGTTTTGGGGAAACAGCGAATTAAAACAAAAAGTCAATGAGAAGAAAAATAAAATAAGACAATTGAAAATAGTTTGGCCACATTTAAAGAAAAAGCACTTTTGAAAAAAAAAAAAACATGCAGGAGGGTGAGACAATCAGCAATAGACGGATACAATTGGAGGATCACAATTAGAGAAGGACGAACAGCAGTTGTTCCGGGGCTCACCCAGCCACTAGGTAATGGGTACCAGAGTTAACACTGCGTTAAATGGAGGAACGTCGCTGTAGTTACGGTGTATGGTACGGACTGCGAAGCAAGCGCTGCCCGTACTGGTTTCAGATCACTTTGGTTTATAACCGTGTGCAATAAAGCTGGTTCACATCTCCTGACTTTACTTTACCTATACTTTAATTTCCCATGCATTGATACATTGATTAATAATGATCAATCAGTCTTGCTTTATTCTTTCAATTTCAAATTATCCTTTTTAGCTTTTTCTTTCTGTTCTTGTGGTTATTTTACGTTAACACTGACCTTTAAAGGAGCCACAATACTCAAACATCTTTCCAGGCTTATGAAAGCAGTAATGCAAGCGCCGACACGGGTGAATGCAAAATGTGGCATCATAAAAATCAGGTACGAGACTTCTATGCTGTCAAATGGTAGATTTGCCTGAACAACTGCTGGTGTTAAACAGATGCACGATCCTGCCAACAATATGAGGCCGACTAAATCAGACACTGACAAACCTGAAACAAATAATAAGTGTGGTACATAGACAAGGTCAACATGCTTTACGTAAAGTAATGTGTTTAGTTATACCATAGTTATCAACTTTCTTAGTTGAGTGGAGGTGTGGGGGGGGGGGGGGGGGGGGGGTGTGCTCTCGAGGCATGGTGTCGGCTCAGAGTGTTACAGGTTCGGGTTCAATGCCCGTAATGGCTGGGATTTTTTCACTTGGACTTTGACTTCTAGTAATTGTCCCTGGTCTCTGTGTAGTGAGATCGGACGCCCGTGAGCATCGTTGTGCACGTAAAAAATATCCCTTGAAGTTGTTAATCGAAAAGAGTAGCTCAACGGCGTTGCACTGACACAATTTGAAGTTAAAAATCTACCTAACGTATTTCAGGGTCCTAGCCGGTGCTACAAAGCCTGTGCAATGTACTGAACTTCTTCGAATTCAGACTTGAGTTAGACGAAAAACTGAGCGCTTATAGGCTACACTAGTGTGCCATGATGTTGATCCTTTTTTTTTAAAACCTCCAAAACCTTAGTTGAATGAACAAATGATAATGAATGTGTACGTATTGCGTGTGTATGTATGTAGGCAAGTATAAATGTATGCATTACGAGCGTACGCAATAATATATGAATTATGTATTTGTGTTGGTATGTATATATGTATGTATGAATAACGATAAAGATACATATAGCATATGGGAGAGAGCATGCAACCATTGTCTGTGCTTACATACCTGATTTGACAACCCAAGTGAGACTTTCGAAGGAAGAACGTCAGGCCTATTTCTCTGGTGAACTGTGGCCATTGTTTTGTGGTGGGTCGAACAGAGATGTGTACGAAGAATTGCATGTAGCCGTTGCAGAAGTAAGGGGTCACTACGCCAATTTTTTTATTTTTTTTATTTACAGAGTTAGAGCAATTATTTTATAAAAGTCATTTGAAGGGATACATGTCAATACATTTGCATACTTTAAGTGCAACAAAAATCATGGTTATCATGGCAATAGCCGCCATCTTGGGGGAAAAACAACATACAATTAGAATCCTAAAATTTCAAAAACAAATATACGTATTAAACAATAGATGATAGATTCATTACCTTTAATCCTTTTTAGAGGTACAGGTGTAGTTAAATTACTTTAAACTTGTTTGTGAATATTTTTTGTAGAATTTTAAAATGTAGGTTTATTGAAAAAGTCAAAAATATCTTGTATCATTAGACTATAATCACATTTTAACAAACAAAAGCTCTCTACAATCTACTTTAAAAAAAAATTTAAAAAAAAAAAAAAAAAAAAACCCTTATAATATTGTTCAAGAAATATCCAAACTAAATTTAATGTTTCTAGTCTTAATATTAGCTGAAATTTTAGGATTTCACACACACAACAAACAGAAATATAGAGATGTGAGAAAACTGACTTGTAACCTTTTTTTTAATCCCCAAAAAAAGTGCATTTGATGGTGCCTTTAGTATTAACCTTTCAATGCTAAATTGTTTACAAATGACATTAATTTTGTGTGTAATCTATTCTACGAATGCCAAACTTTACAAAAACGAACACATTGAAAAAGTGATATTTTTAATCATAAATGGAAAAAAAATGCAGTGTAGTGACCCAACAGCAAATAAGCCCGTCAATTCTTGTGACTGTAATGCATGAGCTGGCTCCGAAAAAAACTCAAATTAAATGGTACTGTTGCTATATACAAAGTGGGTCGCTGCAACCGTTATGTAATTTTTCTTCAGACCTGCTCAGTACATGACTCTGTTATACCCAACACAACTTTTTGAATACCTTCCCGAAACACGACCTCATGGATACAGCGACGATCAAACCATTGGCATCTGACTGACTATGAAAAATTAAAAGAAAAAAAAAAGAAGATAGGTAGGATAGTTGGGTGACCATGTTCATATGGGCAGCCGAATCCTGGGTAGATCATAGCATCATTGTATCAAAAGTCAATATTCGTATCCAGCCAACCAGGCGTTAGACAAGAATGATATAAGTAAAACAACAAAAGACTGAATATCATCCAGCAACTTTCCGTCCATTTCAGGATGCAATGTTTCCTTATTTGAAACCCTAATCTGGCTTTGCCAAGGGCCGCAATATAGAAAGGCCATAAATATAGCCTAAAGGCTGAGCGCGATTTCTGGGACCTCTCCACGGTGATCCTCATCCACATGATGGCACATTGTGTCATCGGGTGTTTATCGCTTGTGCGATATCCTGGTGGGGTAAAAGTCAGTCAGTCAGTCAGACTGAATATTCCCCAAATTAAAACAGAGACCAGCAAGCAATAATTTGCTAAACAGTAGATGACCGACTCCAGTCTATCCCAGTAGGTGACCACAACATGGAAGCTAACCGTCAGTACTAACTAGGAAAATGTATAACATTGCTACATAAATTATGGGTCATGAAATAAAATGAAAAAGAAAATTTTAACAAAAAAATAAAAACAGTGACTTATTCGATGATAATTCTAAAAGAATACAGGAGTTGTTGACTGAGAAATATTGACCCTCACAAAGACCTTCGACGTAATCCAGTCTACATTCAAGAAGGATGTTTGTTATAACATGCGAAGAATGTTTCAGTGTAGACTACACCAGATGATTTGAGAAGGACTTCAACAGAGATTCACAATTTAGCTCTCATACATAAACTTAAAATATTTACCGCTAATCTACAGCAGCCTATGGTCCATGAGTGCCATCACGACCATTTTCTCTTCTCAAAACAGATGAAAAAACACTAGTCGCATATAACGAGCGCTTTACTCACAGATCGAATGAACATGTTGAATAATATTCTAAATCAGTGTTCATCGGTAAACGACGACACTATCAACCGCCTCCAACAAACCATTGTAAACATTGCAGGGGGTTGCGTGGTCTCGAGGCATGGTGTCCGCCGCGAGTGCTAGAGGTTCCGGGTTCAATCCCGCGGTAAGGACTAGGATTGTTTTCACGTGGACTTGGACTTCTAATAATTCCCCCTGGTATCTGGGTAGTAAGATCAAACGACCATTTCATTGTTGCACACGTAAAAACAAATCCCGTGGCTGTTGGAAATCGAAGGGAATTGCCAAACGGCGTTGCCTAGGCGAAATCTAGAGTTTTAAATTTAACCAACCTATTTCAGGATTTCGCCAATGCTACAGGGTCTGTGCACTGTGCTGAGTTTCTTCGAACTCAGGCTTGAGTTAGAAGAAGAATAGAGCACTTATAGGTTACTACCTGTGTGCTATGGTGTTGGTCCGTTGTTCAAACTTCCAACTTCAACATTGTATTTAAGGAAATACTATAGAAGAAACTCTGGAAGCGCGTCACCAGCTTCCCAGTGGTAAATCCACTAGTTGTGATTCAATCTTTTCAGAGGTGTACAAAACTGTTGAGAAAACAGTTACACAAACTTCGTGTGATTTTCCAGCGAATATGGCGAGATAAAGACATCACACAAGTTTAAACTTTAAGGCAAGTTCCTGTCATATGGTAAAAAAAACACCGGATAATCCCGAGGAGGAGTCCTCCTTGCCTATAGTGATACCTGCTTTGACCCCTAGGGAATCCTGGAGAGATATGAAGATTTCAGACTTCATGCCTCAGGAGTGTGCAGGTCATTTTTGACAACTTCTTGCATCGTTTTTACAATTTTAACTGACATCGCAGGCTATTCACACAGTCAAGCTTGTGGATAATCGACATATCTAATTACGACCATGCAATTTACCATTGCACTATAAACATTTGTTGGAAAGGAAACTGGAAGAGATGTTGCGTTTAAATATTATTGAGCTATCTCCCTCACCCTATTCTTTCTCTGTGGTAATAGTGAGAAGAAAGGATGGAACCATATGCACATGTATAGACTACCAGAAGCTTGATCGCATTACTGTGATAGATGCAGGGAATGTGCAAAACAAAGACAGTATGTTCCATAAGTTGGCAACATCAAAATTTTTTTCAAGAAGCTGAATTTTCCAAGACGATATTAGCAGATCCCTTTGACTGAGAAGTCTAAGCAGTCTAAGGCATTTTAGTTACATCTTTGTCTTTTCCACTTCAGATTTATGAGTTTGGGACATACCAATGCTCCGGCCACATTCACATGTCTAGTTAGGAAACTAGCTGTCGGTCGTTCCGACTTGGTTTGTTACTTGGATGATATTCTACTACTCCGTGACAATTTAGAAAAACATCTTGCTTCTTAAAAATCCCCTTTGTGCAAAATCAGTTTGAGTTGACGAGTAGCCTTTTAAAAACTTACTTTCTTAAGGCCATGTAGTTGGTGACGGTTTTCTTTAACCGAAAGACAACAGTGTGGACAACATTGTGAACATTCTTAAAGATGTTAGAGCGCTGCTAGGTCTGCGCAGTTTATTTAAGAAATTCCTCCCTTATCATTTGTTTGTCACGTATGTCTTGTCGGAATTGACACGGAATACGATGCCTCGCTTAGTATTTTGGGATCGGATGTGTGCTTAAGCACTGGACCAAGTACAAAAGATATTTAGACAACATCCATTCTTAAGACTTTCGAATCTCTCAATGGATTTCCATTTGTAGAAAAATGCGACGGACACAGTGATTGCATCAGTACTGAGCCAGACAAATAATGGACAGTTATTACTACCTTGCATGTTTGCCAGCAGGAAACTGACACCAACCGAGACACGCTATTGAGTGTCAGACACCGAGGCCCTCGATGTGTACTGGGCCATTTCCAAATTCATCAAGTTTGTGTGTGCAATCCAGGGATTCACCCCAAAACAGACCGGTAATGAATAAGAGATACTTCAAGAAAAACGATGTGTTGTCGAATACTAAAAAAGTTTTTCGAGCGCCACTGGTTATTATGTCGTTTGAAATTGCGATATTATGAAACTCACTAGCTATACATCTCATATAAAACTTTGAATTTTCAATAATAAAAGCAAATAAATATGGGCAAAGTAATATATTGTTAAGAAAATTCATACCCAAAAGACTGATGT